CAATAAGAAATTTCCTTAAGAATCATTGTGATTCACCACATTAACAAAATAAAGAGAAAAACCATGTGATCATCCAAATAGATGCAGAAAAAGCATTTGCTAAAATTCAATCCCTATTCATAAAAATAAAAACACAAACTAAAAGAGGAGGCGGTTTTCTCAGCCTATTAAAGGGCACTACAAAAAACTACAGTAAACCTCATATTTAATAGTAAACTTCTGAATGCTTTCCTCCTGAGACTGAGAATGAGACAAAGAGACCTTGCCATCACATATCTATTCAACATTATACTGGAGGTTCTGGCTCAGAAAACTGCTTAACATTATTGAAAACTATTAGAGAATGCCTAATTAAATGGAAGAATGTACCATGCTCATGAATTAGAGAATGCCAATTCACCTGGAATTGATTTATACATTCACCGCAATTCCAGTCAAAATCAGAGTATGTTGTTTGGGGTGTGTGTAAATAGACAAGCTCTTTAGATATGTGAAGGAACAAGAATAGCCAGGCAATCCTAAAGAAAAAGAACAAAATTGGAGGAGTGGTGTTTTTGGCTATCAGGATTTATGATATAAAGTTAAAAAGTTATGGTAATTAAACCAGTATGGTACTGGCATGAGAATAGACAAGCCAATGGAACAGAACACAATCCAGAAACAGACCCATATATACATGGTCACTTGATTTATGATGAGCAATAGGGGAAAAGAAGGTCTTTTTTACTACATGATGCTGGGTCAACTGAATATTCATATAAAAAGTGAATCTTGGGTCCTATGTTATACCATGTATAAAAAATCAGCTCCAGGTGATTTTTAATCTGAAAGATCAAACAATAAAGATTCTAGAATAAAAAACAGCAGAAAATCTTCATGAACATATAATAGGCAAATTTTTTAAAACAGGACACCGGAAGTGCTAACCAGAATGGAAAGGATTAATGGACTCTATTAAATTTTGGACTTTGTATTTATCACAAGGGCCCATTAAGAGAGTGAAATGGCAAATCATAGACTGGAGAAGATATTTGGAATATATCTAACCAGCAATGGACTTGTTTGCAGAAATCAAGAATTCCTATACATCAATAAGAAAAGGACAATCTAAAAGACAAATGGGAAAGATATTTCACAAAAGAGGATATTCAAATAGCCAATAAACACAAAAATGTGTTCAAGCCCATTTGGCCTCAGGGAAATGCAAAATTAAAATCATAATTAAATAGTACTGCAAACCCAAATAAATGGTTAAGATTAGGGACTGACAATATTAACTGCTGGCAAGGATGTGGAGTACCTGCAATTTCCAAACCGTGCTGGCAAGAATGTATTGGTGCAACCACTTTGTAAAAATATTTGACACCAGCTCCTAAATGCAAGCCCATTCAATTGCCCAGAAATTTCCCTCTTCGGTCTGTATTCTACAGAAATGCACACACAGATCCACCAAATCACATGCAAGAATGTTCCTAGCAGTACCATTGCTGAGAGGGCAGAACTGAAAGCAACCAATATTAAAATGGACAGATAAATTGTGGCATCTTCATAAAATTGAGTAATATGCAGTACTGAGAATAAGCAAAAAATCAAACCATGATTCGAATGAATCTCACAAACATAATGTTAGCAAAAAGAGTCAGACATACAAGGATACATATTGTGTGATTTCAATTATAAAGTGATCAAAACAGGGCAAAGAGACTGACAGTGACAGAAATCAGAAAAGTGACTGTCCTGGCAGGAGGTGGTAATTGGACAGCATGAGCTGGGCTTCCACTCAGATTCTATTTCTTGACCCAAATGGTGATTAAATGAGGGTAATCTCTAGAACTCGTCTAAAACTATGACTTAAACAATAAAAGAACCTAGCAGGTGTACATGATAGCCATGATATATCAGCAACTAGAGGAAAAAAGTCAATTGTAATTCACCAAATATGATTCTATACTGGTAACAAAACAAAAAGGTGAACTATTATATCCAAAATAAATTTGTGAGGGATTTATTAACAATGTTTACCTTTTTCATGCATATCTCTTGCATTATTTTTTGCTTTATGAAATTTTTGGATTTGTAAAAAAGTGAGCCTTAGTTATACATTTGAGAAAAACAGTAAACAGTTAAAAGTTTTTTAGCTCAACATTCCACAATACCAAAGATGTCCCCTGGGGTAGGGCACTGTGGTGGCCTTGACACTGACATGTGTCTGTGGTACCCAGTAGCTGAGTGTTGGCTGCTCTGGTTCTGGGCTCTCTAAGTGGGCCGAAGGGCAGATCACTAAGACGAGCAGGTCCTTTATACTCAATGGAAATTGAGTGCTTTAATTAGCTTCACTCAACTTGTACTCAAAAGGAAGAGATTTTGTGCAGTTCTCTGTGGAACATTCACTGAGCAAAGGTAAAAACCTGAAAGGCCACCACACAGATGCCCAACTCAAGTCCAGAGAAGGGATGTGGTGCAGCAGATATGGCAACAATATCTTCATGCATTATTTTCCTTAACAAAAGGCAGAAAAAAGAACTACCATTTGCCATGTCTCATGCATAACACTCAAATATGCTTACCTATAAACCTGTAGATTAGTAAGACAAACTCTAACTTCTGTCAGTTTTACTACCAGACAGCCTTTCAGATAATCATGTTTTCCTCAATAAATTTATATAGCTAATTAAAATTTTCTACCATCCGGGGTGCCTGGGTGGCTCAGTCTTTAAGCGTCTGCCTTCGGCTCAGGTCATGATCTCAGAGTCCTGGGATCGAGCCCCGCATCGGACTCCCTGCTCAGCGGGGAGTCTGCTTCTCCCTCTCCCACTCCCCCTGCTTGTGTTCCCTCTCTCGCTGTCTCTCTCTCTGTCAAATAGATAAATAAAATCTTAAAAAAAAAATTTCTACCACCCCATCTTACTTTTATACATTATTATGGTAAAGGAAAGAATGTAGTATCTCTAAGAAGCATCCTTGAACATTATGGGTAGATTTTTTATTTTATCTCTGCCAAGAATAGCTATTGCGAATAAAATGATTTAGAAAACAAAGATGTTTCCAAGTAAAAATTGAAAACAAGCCCAAGATATGAAAAACACAAGCTGCATGCACATGTGTACACATGTACACACAATCTTTAAATATCAAAAGTATAACATCTCCCCTCATAGGAGAAATGGAGAACACATTTTAGCCCATTTTCCTTTTTAAAAAAGTATTCCTGATGAATTAAGAATGTGTTATTTTAGATCTATACCCAGAACAACAAGAGTAGGAACTTGGAATTTATGCTCAGATTTATAGGCTTACAAAAAATAAGAGGAAAATACTAAATAATCGTTTAATGTCACAATCACACCCTGAACTCTCCCTTTCCTGTGGCGACTTTCATTCAGAGCAACTTCCTCTTTTTGCTCTATAAAGTAATGTTCCTCTCTTTTGTTCTCTAGATTTGCCAGTGCTTTTACCGGAGATTGCTTGTCCGTAATTGCAATTTTTTGCTATTCCCAAATAAACTCATTTTGCTGGTAAAATAACTGGCTGTATTATTTTTAAGGTCAGCGTTAAACTTTTTAAAAATGATGCAGGAAAGAATAAGTACACAGTGAACAAGTTAGAAGAGATTTCATCTTTCACATTATGCAAATGCATTTTGCTAGTGATATTTTTTATTTTTATCAGGATGATCCTCATTACTACTTTTACTATGTGAGTTACAAAATTGACTGTGTATCTGTTTTAACAGGAACATATACATAATTACTCTGTGGAGATATTTTCAAAAGTGTCAAAATATGAATTAAAACACTGACACTTTTTAAGGGCTCCTTATAGGGCTCCAAAGCACATGTTGTTTACAGAACGGAGGCTTGGTAAAATGGATTAGAACATTTGTATGGAGCAGTTTCTAAAATATCAGTCATTTATTTTATTTAAAGCAATGTTCAGATCTGATGATATTACCCAGAAATGCTTCTGGTTAGGGAGAAACATGTAGATGTACAATGAAACCAAAGTAACTTAACTGCCTTCCATTTTCTGAGGAAAAGATTCCTCCTCCCTTCTTGGCTGAGATGAAATCAAGAGCCGTTCCAGCTGCAAGCTGAGCTTGGTCCCTGCCTGAGGTGAACAGGTTAGCTTTGCTCAGAGATGTCATAGCTCTTTTTGGTCGATGGCTGCCAAGCACACACTTTTTCTCTTAAGAAAAGTCTAACGGGTAATGAGTAGATGGAGATGAGTGCAGTGCTACCAAGTTGTGCTAATTTGCTGTGCTTTTGGCCAGGGCAGCAGAAAACTCACTAATTTTCTTTTCCTCTGGAAGAGGAACAGGGCTCCTGCGGTGTTCTGGGAGATATAAACATGCAGAACTATTATAGCTGAAGACATAGGATACTAATTACAAGTTACCAATGTTTCATCTGATCATATAAAAGTTATTGCACTAAATGAACACAACTAAGGGGAAACTTATTCCTTAGCTTGTTATAATATAACCTCAAAATTATAGATGAAATTCTGTATATATCGAACCTCAACTGGAAAGAAACAGAATTAAATGAAAGCATGCAATTCTTTTTCCTACACTCCAATAATCCTTCAGCTTTTAGTTTTAAGTTTAAATAAAACTTTTCCCCTAACAACCTTCTTGGCTGTCTTAATAATGAGGTACATTTCCCAGTCCCTCAACATATAAAAATGCCATGAGACGCTCCCTGTTTCCCTCCTTCATGCCCTCTGCAGACGACAGAGATTCCACCACTGAGACCTTTACTTGGATAGGTTTTGATTTGTCTTATCATGAATGAGGATCACAGAAATTACAGTCTAGTCCTTTCACTTTAAAAATGAAAAAAATCAAGGTTGGGGTGGAGAAGTAATGGAACCTACTTGTCTGTAAGGTTGGGACTAGGCCACAAATCCCCTCCTGGAATGATAAAACCAACCCAGCAAACAAGACATTCTTCACAACAAAAAGCATAGTCTGTGTTTTTGCTAGTGTTTTTGTTTTTTACCTCTGAAGAGATTATCCAAGTCAATATCTTCTTTTCCTTTGATTTTCAAACACTTTGCCTGCTGTACAAGTCTGGGCAAAGAACAGAAATAAAATCTAGATTTATTATCCAGTGAGGTAAGAATCAATCATGACAGCAGCACAAATTTAAATAGAAACCACAGGGTAAACAGTAGTGAATTGACAGGTATTTTGCTGCACTGAGGCTTGTTACAGTTTTTCTTCAGTTTAAGGTTTTTAAAATATATTTTCGGTCAGAAACTCTAACTTTGAAACCTACAACTTGAAAGCTCTCCCCCCTCCAACTCTTATTCATTCTCTTACAGTAGAAAGTTTCTAGAACTCTTTGGGGAATAATCTCTTCAGGTTCTGAGGAGGAGCTATCAGGGATGATAAGGGATGGTATGGTAGTAAGTGGGTAAATAGTAATTGCTAATGATGATTTTAGTTCTTAGTTTAATCAAAAGATTATAGACATTGTGCTTAAACAACTATATAAAGTAATTTAGTTACACAGTTGAATGTCAGAGAATTAATTAACTTTTAAAATGCTCCTGTATGCAGTAAGGACTAATTTTGTAACTCTTCCATCATGCAACTTTACTAAAACTTGAGGCTCATGGTTTGTAATGAATATGGAAGTTTCTAAAATGAAACTTTTCCAGTGTTGCTAATTACCTAGTAATTAATTTTAAGTAGAGAGACCTTGAGATAGTTGATTAATTTATCCATATATATTTACGATTTTCATGAAAATTATAATAGCTTGCTTTGCAAACGCACGTTCCTATTGCACTTGTACAGCAGCCCTCTCCTCTTATCCTCACTGACAAACTTTCGAGTCTGTTTCAATATCTGTTTTAGATGAGGATCCCGATTCAGTCACCAAAACCTTACACAGGAACCTAAATGACGTATATATAATTGGAAGTCATTTTATCTATAAATTCTATATGTCATGGTAAAAACATATTCTATCAGTTAGATATATATATATATTTTTTACCATTAGACATTTTTTAAAGATTTTATTTATTTATTTAGCAGAGAGAGAGAGAGAGTAAAAGCAGGGGGAGCAGCAGTGGGAGGGAGAGAAGCAGGCTCGATCCTGTGGGACTCCATCCCAGGACCCTGGGATCATGACCTGAGCTGAAGGCAGACACTTAACCGACTGAGCCACCCAGGGACCCCTCATTAGACATCTTTTAATAAAAAATGCAAGAAATGGAGAAAGAATTTCTTTTGAAATCCCACCTTGGACCTTAAAAGAAAGCCCTACATAGCTACTATGGAACATCCTAGCCCGGGGTAGCGAAGCTGAAGTGTAGTGTGGAGACCAGCACCCTCAGCAGAGAAAACCTGCATCCAGGCTCTAGGCTTGTATCCCAGAGCTCATTTCTAAACTCTATATATAGGTCTCAACTTCCCAAAATGCAAAAGGAAGCTGGACTTGCTTTACAGGGTTTGTTCTGAACAGTTAGTGAAACGGTACTATAAAATAGTTTACAAACTTTTATTCAGCACGGATGTGCATAAAAATGTGAGGAATATTTTCATTAATTCAATATGCTTAATTTTCATTATATTCTGGATATATACAGATCATCAGGATTTGTTTACGTCCTTGTAGGAAAGAATATTAGCAATAGAAAGAGGGCTTGGATTTAAGCAGTGAGCAGCTGGTGGAGAGAGCTGGTCAACGTGGAATGCCAGAGGCACAACGTGTGCACTCAATAGCATGGTGTCATCATTTTGCAAAGAAGATGGAAAAAAGAACAATTTTAGTCTGCTTATATATTTTTGCAAATAAGTGTTTGGGTATATTCCCAAAAACTTTACAAATTTGATGAAACTGAGTTGATTTTCAAACCATCTTAAAGCAAACCTCTACAATAGATCCTGATGAAGATCTTGATTCTATCTTAAAAATTTGAAAAATAGATGCTAGTATGCCTTATATAACTTTGATGGGGATTTTAAAAAGCAATTTAAAAATAAATCAAATAAATTTACTGAGTAGCTTTAAAATAAAATTCCAGGCACTGCCATTAACCACAGACATATTTCAGTACAGTCTTGCTTTCAAAATGCTTACATCACTAGGGTCACCCTGTAATCAGTTCAGGCTCAGTAACATTTCCTGAGTGAGACACATACCTTCTAAGGACTTCTGGACTCCTCACTTTGTTCACCCTCATTTCATTCTCACAAAAACTCTATAAGGTAGAGGCATAGGACCCGTGATATAAATAAAGACACAGAGGCTCAGAGATATTAAATCACTTGCCCATCTTGGGCACACAGTGAGTCAATGGTGAAGCCAGGACACAAACTCCAGTCTGCAGACTCCAAATCCAGGTTTCCCCTACTCTGAGCATCTTTGTCCAATGTCTGCTGAGCACTCACAGAAGGCATCAAGAAGGAGATGTCACTGGCACAGCAAAAGAAAGGGAGAGTCAATAATGCTCCTGGCAGCTGGAGGGAGAGATGGTCTGGAGCTAGGCTAGTGGGGAACTCTGTGGAGGATGCAACTGGGTCTGGTCCTAAAAGAAGGGAGATATGCAGGACTAGAAAGTTCTAGAAAATTAAGGTAGGGGAAAAGCAAGAACCGCGGCAGACAGGGCATAGGCACAATGAGAGGGAGGGTGTTCGGCAGACACAGGGAAGGTAATCAACCTCCTGGGCTGAAGCACCTGCACTGCAGGGGAAGGAGGACTGGAGGTGAGGCTAAAAGAACAAGCCAGAGCCGAGTCGTGGAGAGCCTTGCGTGCTGTTCTCAAGTGTTGGACTTCCTCTTGCTGGCAGAGAAGACAGTGACTGAAGTGTTGCATCTGGCAAAGAGTCTACTGCATACAGGGAGCAGCAATGTTTGGTGATGATTAGGCCAGTCATGTGCCAAAGATTGTTTGTATTTTAGCTAAAAAGGTAATACCACTGAAATCTTCAGGCATTATTCTTTCATCAGTAATTCCGCTTGAAGCCTTGCCCATACTTTTCATCATAGTTCCAGGCTTTCCAAACAATCTTCAAGTTCCTTTGCTAATGCGATTGCTGGTGCAGCCCCAAGTGTCAGGCTACCCGTGTGCCTGTGTACCCCTGACTCACCCCACACAGGAGTGCATGACTTAAGAGAATTACTGCTTCTGTTGCGGAGACCGGCCGCTGTCATCAAGAGTCTCTGCTATCCACATTGGTTTTCCACGTGCCTTGACCTTTGGGTTTTGTTACTTCCCGTTGACAAAAGGGGCTGCATGCTCTCTGACCCCCCTTCGATGCTTCTGCTACATTTAAAATGGCAAGTTAGTGGCTACTCTTTCTGGGCTTGGTAAATGCTAGGCCCTGAACTAGATGCCTAACATGAAGGAGGTAATATTAATCTTATATCGATGTGTTGAAAAGTATAAAGAGGCTAAATAAGTCACACAATAAACTGAAGAGCCAAAGTGGAAAAAAATGAGAATTTGGAATTAAGTCAGGTTAATCTAAATGTAGTTAAACTCCTTCTAGAACAGGAGTTGCAAACGTCAGCCCATGAGTCAAATCCTTCCCATTGCCTGCTTCTGTGAATTAAACTGTAGTAGAATACAGCCATGCTCATTCATTACTTATAGTCCACGGCTGCTTTCACACTACAGTGGTCAAGCTGAGGAACTATAGTAGAGATCTTAAGGCTGGCAAAGCCTAAAATATTTACTATCTGGTCCTTTAGAAAAAAAGGTTGCTGACTCCTGTTCTAGCAGTAAAGGAAAATGTTCCTAAGGCCAAAAATATATGTATGACATGTGATGGTTTTACATACTATCTTTTCTCAAAATTGCCTTAATAACTGTAGTTAGTTATCACTTAGAATAGGGCTTCAAAGGCAAATATTGAGCTCTGAATGCTTTTTATTTTTTTAGACAAATTGCCCAGGTCCGATCAGTATTTCCTTAAGCTTTTCCTACCTGCAGGTATTACAGTCAGCCAAAATGGTATCCACCACCGAAAGACTCAGAATCTACCAGAGGATACAGATGTGTGCAGTGCCAACTTTCACACAAAGCAGAGGAAGAAAGGGCTACATGAAGAGATGAGAAAGTGCTTTGGGATCTAAAGGTGGGAGGGGACTTTCTGCTTAAAATGTCAGTGAGATCAGAAAAAGCTTTCAAGAGGAGAGGAGTTTGTCTAGGCCTCAAAGCAAGTTTTACTAAGGGAAGCATCAAGGGGGACATTGCAGAAACACTGGCAGGTGGCAGGTCGGCAGGCGGAAGAGCGCATACCAGGTGTGGTGTGGTGTGCAGGCTGGGGATACATTATGAGGACTGCAAAGGCTTTCTGCACACGTATGTATGTATTCTGTGTGTGTGTGTACACTTGTGTGTGTGTGTGTTTGTATGTGTGAATTTAGTGATAGTAAAGCAAAATAAGTCCAAATATCATTATTTTGGACCAAAATAAGTCCAACCTCTAAGACTATATATCTAAGGACAGATTCATACAGTATATTTAGTTTGTAAATAAAATGTAATTCAACTTTTAAAAATATTGCATTATAAACCATCAATAAATGACATACATATGGAAATGTTTATTGCAGCATTATTTAAAGAGGAAAAATACTGGAAACAACCTGAATATCTGTTAATAAGAGAGTTAGTTGAATAAGTTAAAGTATGTCCATTCTATGATAAATGATATAGTTATTTAAAACAATGCATTGGATCCATTTGTGCTAATACGGAAAATTACCCATGACATATTGTTAAATAAATAAAGCACATTTTTAAGCTAATATCTCTTATTGTCAGACTTTAAACCAGCAAACAATGGTTTTACATGGCAGTCCATAAGAGATAAGGGAAAATTGTTTTTTCTTTGTGAGTAGACTTAGTTGTGTAAGTTTTTACAAGTTTTCCATATAAAAATAAAAGTCCAAGACCAGATTATGTTTCTTCTAGCCACAAATGCTGACTTCTTTACAGGTGCCTTGTTCAGAGTGCCATTATAAACTTGGCATAAAAATATGTGTGCATTTTATTAAAGCTTCAGCATTTAATGTCAGGGTCCTTTAAATTTTGCTGACATGTTAACCT